ATACCTGATGTATAGGAGGTGTATACCTGATGTATAGGAGGTGATACCTGATGTATAGGCGGTGTATACCTGATGTATAGGAGGTGATACCTGATGTATAGGCGGTGTATACCTGATGTATAGGAGGTGTATACCTGATGTATAGGAGGTGATACCTGATGTATAGGAGGTGTATACCTGATGTATAGGAGGTGATACCTGATGTATAGGAGGTGATACCTGATGTATAGGAGGTGTATACCTGATGTAAAGGAGGTGTATACCTGATGTATAGGAGGTGTATATCGTATGTTTAGGTGGTGAATCCCTCATATATAGGATATATAGGTAATCTACAAACCCGCTATCCCTCGAGGTATAAACAAACAATAATCGCTTGTTCTCCGTTTTTCCCCTTTTCCAGTGTCATTTGACAAGCTGGTTCACTGATATTGGTCTGCTGACTCACACACTTGCTGCTACTTGTCAGTGAATGAGACTGACAGATACTGTCCGATTTAGTTGACGAAATGTCAGTTTTCAGTGTGTTGTACATTTTTCACCATTTCGTCCTTATTTTAGTTCTTATTTCTCTTATTATCATTTAAGTTTGATAACAAATATTTCACAAGAACATTTATTTACCACATATATACATCTATTTAAAATGACATATCGGGAGATTCTAATCCAAATTACAATTCATTATCAAAGGATGAATCATCGTGTCATTCTTTACAGCTTCAGCATTTTTTTTCATGCTTCAGCTTTCCCGGTATATAATAATCTCTCAGTCGTTGCTAGCACACACACAGTGTCATTTGTCAACGATTGGGTCAGCCCTAATTCTGCCCTCGGCTTTTGCCAGCTAGACAAGGTGTTTATTGTTTTTAAATCGAATCCATAGAGCTAGAACCATGGTCGAATGTTTTTGGCAAACCATACTATCGAGATCTCAATCTTACCAACACTAAAACGAAAATAATATTGTATCCTGGGATGCAGATGGTAACATTGTGTGCAAATATATACGTCACATGAGGCAACATTGAATAGAAACTATTATTACGTTTGTTTAGAATCATGTGCTTGAACTGACAATCATAACCCAGTATTTAAAGTAAACGTCATTACCATGTGAAATGATAACGATCAAGTATTCAATTAAAAGGGTTTATGGCCGATATATAAACTGAACAAAAAAAGAAACGCACAAAGTTCCCCTCTGCAGTACATCTTAGCTGTAAGGAAATAATGGAATATTCGGTCAGGTATTACAGCAAGAACGATCCCCCTTCTCAACAATCTACCCTTAAATCAGTCAAGCGTGACGATGTCATTGTGTGACTTTGTGAGCTTCTTTAGTCCAAATCACGCGGCGTGATCAAGACAGGCCGGAGTTTTTCAAACAAATAATCTCAACGGATACTCTAAGTTCAGCCACATTAATTTTCCACGTTGGCATTTTGATTTCGCCATTGACTGAGATGCCACGCTTAACGCAAATTCAGAAGGGTAGAGCAATTGCGATGTTGATGGATGCGTCTTGGCCCGAATAGGTTTTGGATGCGTCGATGGAGGCGTGTGATGTTCACCGAGTCTAGATTCTGTCTGTATCGCTCAGACGGAAGAAAAAGGGTATATCGCAGACGCGGTGAGCGTTTCGCCGACGCATGCGTGGTTGAACGCGATAGATTCGTTGGGGCTTCTGTAATGGTTTGGGGAGGCATCTCCCATGGAGTAAAATCCCCCTTAGTGGTCCTCGATCAAAACCTCATGTCGTTCGATACAGAGACCAGATCCTCCAACCACATGTCCCTCCACTCCTCAGACGTCATAACCTAATTTTCCAGCAAGACAATGCTCGACCGCATGTTGCCAGAGTCTGTCGTGATTTTCTCACGGCAAACAACGTTCAGCCTCTGGAATGGCCGCCATATAGCCCCGACATGTCTCCCATTGAGCATCTGTGGGATGAGCTGGCGTATTAGAAAACGTCAAAATAAAAAAAACTAACCGCGCCCAGTTGATCGCAGCATTAACACAAGAATGGAACAACATTCCCTTAAGGCGAATTAATGTTTTCATAAATTCAATGCATAGGAGAATCCGTGCAGGGATTCGTGCAAAAGGTGCCCACACCAGGTACTGAAGTGTCATTTTGTTTTTTGCGGGTATCCCACTTTGAGTAACTACTGATGACACGAGTGACGTCACACAGACTTTTCTTCTACAGTATTGTAAAGAGTAGACTTGTCCCTTCATATTGATATAAAATTTTGTACAAATTTCCTACAATATCATAGGCTATTGATTGCATAATTTAATTGTGCGTTTCTTTTTTTGTTCAGTATATATTCGTGATGCCAGGAACGTAAAATAGTGCTAAAATTGATATGTACATGCTGATTAAAATTCGTGATGCCTGTAACGTATACCACCATATATACTGCTTCATTTTATTAGCTCACCGGGTCCGAAGGACCAAGGTGAGGTTATACCATACCGTGGCGTCCGTCGTCCGTCCGTCGTCCGTCCGTCAACAATTTCTTTAAACGACTTCTTCTTCTTAACCACTGATTGGAATTTAACTAAATTTGACTGGAAGCATCACTAGCTGGTGGGGATTAAAAATTGTACAAATGGTGGGGATGACCCCCCAGGAGACTGAGGGGCGGGGCAAAAAGGGGGCAATTTGGCTATATTGCTATAAACTGCTTCTTCTATGCCATGGATTTCGATCATATTTGGTCAGAAGCATTCATGGGAGGCTGGGATTCAAAATTGTACAAATGAAGGGGCTGAACCCCCGGGCTAAGGGATGGGGCCAAAAAAGGTTTATTACTTGGAAATGGTTGAGATCCCCACCATATAACCATATATACAATTGCTGCGTATAAAGAGAAGAATGCACATTTGCTTCCAGGCTGGCCCTAGGGTCTGGCCCCACCATTGGAGACATAGTCCCTGGGCAATAACTTTAAAACGGTTGAGATCTCCACCCAAAAACTATATAAACAAATGCTGTGCATAAAGAGACGAATGCAATCATGATATTATAATAGACACTGGGGTCTGACCGAACCCCTAGGGACCTAGCTTGGAAACAGTTGAGATCCCCACCCTATAACCATATATACAATTGCTGAGTATAAAGAGATGAATGCACATATGCTTCCAGGATTGCCCTGGGGACTATCCCACCCTTGCAGACTTAACTTCTGGGTCATAACTTTGAATCGGTTGAGTATGAGCAGGACGGAACCGATACCTGTTTATTCTACATAATAAGTATTAGGTTGTTAATTGATTATAACGTAAAGGCTGTGTAAAAAAAGTAAATATTTACAGTCAGTATCATTGTATTATCGTGTACCGACTATATTTGTCTTGAACGTTGACCACAGTCCGTCTGTACGATCATACTTTTTGTACACCAATTGGGCGGCCTTGTCACTCGGTTTCCATTCGACATTTGGACGTGACAAATCCGAAAATCTCTGAATTGAAAAAAAATATAATCGTTAGATTAAATTCTCTTTGTACATAACCAAGGGAAACAACTCAAGCAGTTATGAATACCCGTTAAATGGATCTTAATGCATTTCTGGATCCATCAATATTATCATTTAAATTACAAGATTTCGAGACATAGCAACATCTTAGCTGAGCTTTATTCTCCATATTTTATCAAAAGCACAATGCATGATTCTAAAAACATCTATTTTCTAAATGAGTGACGAATTATTTTGACATTATCACATTTAATTAATTTACCTTACTTATCCGGCATTAGGATTTTAATGACGACCAAATAGGAAAATGAAAAGTATGCTCTTTGCGATTTCACGGCATATGATGTAGCTTAACGCCAGTTTTTATGCTAACTGTAATCAACATCATTTTATAAAGATAGAAAAACAAAGTTTAAGTAACATGCAGAGAAACTGAGGATGATCGTCCAAAGAAACTAGAAGAAACAAAATATGCTTCTTAAAAATGTATTTTGCATAAATGTTCAGTTAATCTGATCGCGCCTTGAACAATAGGGCCCTTGTGTATCGTATACCTTTGTAACGGGTCCTTTGGCCTGCAGAATCCCTTTAAGGGCTATGATGGGGATTGGCACCACCGCGAGTAGAGCTATAAATACTCCGATCACCTCGGTATACCGGGGGAAGACATACTCGCTATACCTCGGAGTGTCCAGTGATAACACACTTCCAAGGAAGGCAGCCTGTATAATGTCAAAAGTATCTATTTTTTTTCACTACAAATGTTTATGTGTTGTTAGTCTAAATAAATTATGAGGGATATATAAGGTAACACTGAGAGCTGAACCAGAGAAAACCAAACCAAACTGAGTTATACAAGTAAGAACCATGAAGAAATTGATGGTTTTTTTTTGGCAGAAATTAATGTCACATTTTGTCATACATGTAATGTAAATTTATTAGTTCGAAGATGTGTTCGGAAATTAATAGTTGCAATTTTACACTATGTACTATCAAATAGTATACTGACCGATCGCTTTTCTTTTATTATTATTTATTTGAAAACTAAACACCCATACTGTTTTCAATGTTTCTACTTGACTTTATGACCGTGTTATATGCTTGAAGTGCGTTACGGGAAATAAGTCATGAGGACATAATCTTTACTCGGTACAATGTATCTAGAACAAATCCAAGTAATGTTACGTCCTCCTATCGAGAACCGAGGTAGTGGCTAGTGACAACAAAATACAGTTATAAGCATGATAAAAAATACCGACCTTCATTCACAAAAACATATGCATTTCTCAATGAGATTCTGAGGGTGATCACAAACCTGTCCATATTCATAATTAACTTTTTTTGGATTTCCTGTGTTATAAGTTTGTCCGTTAGCAGTCGAAATCTATCACGCTCGTCATAGATATTCGGGCCAATCTCTTTAATATTGAATGAAATGTAATATTGAATCCTCTTATTCTGGAGAATTATGGATGTTTCTTTCAAAAAAGAGAAAGTTCACGATCAGTATTTTAAAGACTGTTCTTAATCTATTTAGTCAGTTTTTGTCATATGAATTGTTTGTGTTAAATAGCACACTCCAAAAGAAAAAAAGGGTAATTAGTAAGTATGATTTCTACATTCAAGTCCAAGGAGGTTAATGTAATCGATAGGCACTAATAAGAAAAAAAGACATTGCAAAAATGACGTTACAATAGTGAATTACGTCACAATCCCTGGGAAAGTGCGATTGACTATGTATATATAGTACTCACATTTTGCTAAGGATCACATATATTTTGGGGAAAAAAATCAAAATGTTAGAAAGGATATTATATTTTATGTTAGCCTTCCAAATCGTCCGGTGTAGGTGTGTTCATTTAACCATAAAAGCGCTTGCACGCTTTTCCATGTGTACACCCCTTTCAAAAGCTAAGCTAGGCTAAGTTAGAAGTTGTTCTAATTGTTAAAGAAATCAATTTGATGGATAATGTTTGTGTGTTTTTGTTTTAATATGGCACAAAGACGAACCAGACGACGGTTAAATGACGGTGAAAGGAATAGGGGCGTCGGAATGCTGCAAACTAGCATGTCTGAACGTCAGGTTGCAGCAGACCATGGAGTGTCTCAAAGTGTGGTGGCAAGAATGTGGAATCGTTTCCAAACTAACAGAAACCCTTCCAGACGTCATGCTGGAGGTCGTGCTATGACAGATTTGTGCTCATGCATGCATGGCGTCACAGGTTCCAGACTGCCGGATCTAAATCCCATCGAACATTTAGGGGACATGCTGCAGACAGCTCTCTCTGCCAGGATTGTTCAGCCAAGAGCGCTCCAGGAGCTGGGTACAGCTTTGGTAGCTGAGTGGAAGCTATCCCACAAAACCGGATACGCGATCTTATTCGGGGCATGCGCAGACGTTGCGGTGTAATTGATGGTCATTGGCGTCACACTCGATGCTAAAACAGTTTCTATTTATTTAAGATGAGTTTTGTTCAATTTAAGTTTTTTAGTGAATACCTCGTTGTTACCAGTTTTAAGGGTAATCCTTTTCCTGTGGCTTATTTTCCAACTGTAATTACGATTTTTAGAATTTGTGCATGCTGATGAATTAATAGAACGATTAATTGTTCAAAAATAGTCTCAGTATATTTGTAGATTGCTGCTGTGCCTATACTTACAAAGGTAGCTATTGGCGTGACTATACACAATGAAAGACGAATGGCTGTAGGCACTCTTCTACCAGTCATCATTTCTACGTCTCGGCTAAATCGTTCTGCACCTAAACATAAGTGTACAAAACAGAAATTGCAGACATATTATTGGTTTCCTTGTATTGTAATCAAATACAAAACAAAAAGGCCAGCATTATTCATCTTCAGTAAATGTTTTATGAAACCCGCGTCACACTACGTGTTTCAATGTACAGTTAAAGTGATTGTAGTTATGGTCTAATGTTAATATTGATATTGCATGAACTATGTTAACAAATCGTTCTTTTATGTACTTGATTATAGGTGTCACAAAGACTTTCAAAGTATGAATGGTTTCCGAATTAACGCTCAATAGAAATGGTGCCCATTGACAATATGACCTTGACATTGCTAAAGCATAAATGGCTGAGCAACCAGTTGGTAACTAAGCTTTTTATAACTGAATAACGAGCAATGAATACCAAATGAAAAGTTAACAGAATATTTTCTACTTTTTTTCTTCATTGAAACAATGCACTGACATAAACACTTTTTTACATTTATATTGGTAGAATCCCAGTTGACTACACATATATTGTCCAAGATGCGTTACCACTGTGTAATCAACCAGATTTCATAGCATAAATGTTAAAAATATGCATTTCAATCATTACATACATGGCATTATTTATTAAGTTTTAATTTACCGTATATCCAGGCGACAACAATACATTCAAAACAGGAAGTCAGGAAAATGCAGTAAACACCTGAATACCAGTCAACGAGAGCAAATACAAAGATTCCTCCCTGTAGTACAAAAAAAACATTGTGTGAAATACACCGTACTTACTAGTACGATATAAATATCATATCACAGGGCAATTTATATCACATCCTCGATACTTACGCTCACTTTCGCTCTCTGCACCACTGGAATATGTCATAGAAAAATAGAAGGATCGGTGTGTACCAACTTGAGACGAGAAGACTAGTTTGATCCTTTGATAGTCATAACAAGGTTACCGCGAGCGGTATATAATACGCCCGTCACACATTGAATGAGCAGTTGTTTGTATGATTGAAATATAAGTATTTGTGAGTAATTGATATTGAAAGAGAAATCATTCAACATAACTGGTAGATCAATGAGTGCAATTCAACATCATATAACACATGCATCGCATTAATGAAACCAAGGGGAATAACGCCAATAATTACGGTCGGATAATGGCGGTTATCGAACTTTTCCGAGGTTTCATGGTAATCAACCTTGTTGTAAAGTTTGAAGTTAATCCGTTAATAATTACTCGAGATATCGAGCGGACACTGTTTCGGCAAGTCCATAAAGGGGCATAACTCCACAAATTATGGTCGGATAATGGCGGTTATCGAACTTGTCCGAG